CAGGAATTCTTAAAACTCTTCAAAGTACAAAACAACGTGGAAATTTCACTGGTAGAATAAAAACTGTGTCCAGTCAGGTGTAAAAAAACAAATTTCCTTCACAACAGCAAGTGGACAGAGTGAGTGCAAAGCCCAGCAGAGACACTCTCGCTCCGATTTCTAGAGCACACCTCCTCCCGAAGGCAGCTCCACCCTCTCCAAGTCGTGCCTACAAGCCCACAGGCAGCGAGCCGTTGGGCGTCCCTCGCCCTGCCAGGCCAGCGCACACACCAGCAGTTGTTGGCCAGCCCTTCCCAGAGGACGCGGGGATGCTCCTGGAACGCCTTCCCTCCGCCGGCCATCCCGCGGCACGGGGAAAGAACACAGGAGCCATTGGGGCAGCCAAGCCCGAAACCAAGCAGCCTGCTCGCGGGCTTTGCTCTCTCCTTGGTGAGCAGGGCGGCGGTGGTCTTTCCAGGGTGGGCACAGCAGAAGAACAAGGTCCTCAATCTTTTGAGGCTAAAATGCTCTGAAACGGAGCCAGAGCGGCTCCGTGGCGTCCTTGTTTTCTGGGATCGCCCTCAGACCCGAACTGCACAGCCACTGCCCCCCTCCGAGCGGGCTCCCGAGAAGCTCGCTGCGGAGAGAACTGAGGTTTCTTCCGAGTCACGTTTGCACCGAGAGAGACTTGGGAAATGATCAGGCGGCTAAAAAGGGGAACGCTCCCGCTTACTGACGGGAATTTCACTGGGATTTTCTTCAGTTGGTATGAGGATGAAGTACTTCACAGTTTCTGCTCAGGAAAAAGATGTAATAAAGTGCATACACGGCCCCAGTGTCAGTTCTGGGGGCTCTGAAAATATGACATGAGTAGTTTTATCTTAAATTTCAGATTTTTCTGCCAAGAGGTGTCTCTGCTTTTCGGCTCTCTCCGTCAGGCAGCCAGACGCAGTTCAGGTGTCCTTTCAGACCCTTCTGCTTGCCGCAGTGCTTTGCAAGAGTGCCTGGCTGCGAGGGGACGCGGGAAAAACAGAGCACTGAGCACTGTCCCTGCAGTGATGTGAGAAGTTAGGAAGCAACCTGGTGAGACAGGCTCTAAAGAAACCTCAGCCATCTCTAGCACCAAATTCAACATCAGCTGTCAAACTCGGATCAAAGCCCCGTGACCTTTCCCTGTTCACGTGCTGGCTGAAAAGCAGCTGGAAGGGCATAAACACGTATCCGCCAGCAGACACAGAGCTGCAGCTCCCGTCTCTACCGATCCAAGCGACCTTCGCTAGAGAACCAGGCCCTGTTTGTCACCGCGGGCGACAGGGCGGTCACCTGCGCATACAACCCGAGCATGGCAGCGTCCTGCCTTTGCACTAAACACAGAAGCCAGAATACCAGAATATTAAAAGCAGGATCTTCCCCACTGGTCCGTTATCTATGAATTCTCGGAAGCTGAGGTCCTTGGGGTTTGACAAGTTATTGCACATTTTCCCTGCTTGCATTTCTGCATTTTCATTTAGCAACTGGCAAACTGTTCCTTTCCTGCCCCTCAGCTGAGCTAGAAATGAACAGGCTTTTGCTTATTTGTTACACAGTATAGAGCAGTTCAAAATTAGGCTGTAGAAATTAGACCACACCATTAAAAAACAGAAAGTACTTACGAACCAGACACCTTATACACTTAAAAAAAATGGAGATATTAAAACAAATCACCAGCCTAAACATGTACTCTTCTCGCCACGACACCAGCTAAACGTAACACAAAGCTGCTGCAGTAGGTGTTTACTGACTTCATACTCTTTATGATCGTGTGAGTGGCAGAAGGACATTTATCATCAGCTCTTCCTGGGATTTTCCACACAGAAACAAGCAGCGAGCAGGAAAAAAGGAAGATGAGATTTTGTCTAAAGAGGGCAGGCTACAAGGTGCCCGTGTGGACATTACGCGGAGGGGAGAAATAAAACCTCTCTTTTAGGGGAAGGAAAGGGACTGGGTGGGGTGGTTACCCACTGGCAACAAGAGGCTCCACGGCCGAGTGTCTGGAGGAACAGAAAACCAGCCACGGCTTGAGCTCTCCTGCATAAACAACACGACCATGAACGCACGTGTTGCTCTGCAGAGAGACGGGGGGGAAAATCAAAGCTTTCTTGTCAGAATTTCCCAATCTCAGCTTACTGGTGTTTATTTGAACTCTAAAATTATCAAGTAGAAAAAACCCACCGGTATTCCTCACCAGGGAAGAAATAAAGCAGCAGTTGTCGTTCCGCATCCTGTGTATTCGCTTGTTGTTTCTTGACGAAAACTGATGCGAGTTGAGTTTTGGGTCAGTTTTAGCACCAGGAATTATCTCAAAACTCAGCTTCGACAAAAGCAAGCAGAAAGTTTTCTCTCAGATATAATACAACCAGGTTTTATTTAAGTTCTCTCTTTCCCCCCCCCCACACTGGCAAAAGTTCAGAGGGAGTTTAAAGTTTTGTAAACATTTTAACTACCCCTCTTCCCCCTTTGATGAATTTACAAAGCAAAGGAGACAGGGAGACCAGATTTGCAACAGTTCCAAGTCTCTCCATGCTATTGGATCCAAAAACTATATACAAGTCTGCAGCAGTCTCTGTATAGTTACTGTACATGTTTGGGGGCAGGGGGAAGAGAGAGGAGGAGGAGGGGAAGGTGACCCCAAAAAATGAATAAACCAAACGAAATAAAATCCAAAGCCAAACTGCTCTTGAGCAACTCGAACTGTTTTCTTTAGGCAGTGATGACAGAAAGACAGACACCTTTATACAACTCCACCAAAACGGCAGCGTATCTCCCTTGGCAGGCTGTAACCCTCTGGGAACAGGAGATGGGACCAGGGGGTTGAAACTAAGTGCGTTTGGCAGTTCTCGTTCTCTTTCTTTTGTGGTGTGTGCACGTGGGTGGGTGAAGGGGAGGCGGTGTTAATCTTCCGGTGAGAGAGGAAGGTTACGATTCCATAAATACTTAAGCATTATGGATCCCAGGGAAGGTACGTGAAGTAGTTTAAGGTGTAGAAGATAAGCAGGGCCGTCATTGCACATAGCTTCGCCCTCCACAGTCTCTCCTCACGACAAAAGGGCATCTCTGCTCGTTAACCTAAGCACTGCTTGAAATGACAACTAGCTAAGACTGCTTGGGTATATATCTGAAAGCCAGTGTTCACCCTCACCAAAGGCTAAAGATCCACACAGTAAAGATCCTACTGTCTCTTAAACGAGACAAATTTGCAGGAAAAGAGCTCAAAATAAACTGGTCCTAACCCTCCGAAGGTAGCGTTTAAGGGATAAAGTCAACCTGAAAGAAGAGATGCCACCCCCCTTTTTTTCCCCCCAAGTAGAAGTCCCCACTTGTCCAGGAAGGCCGGAGTATGCCGACGGGGAACTCCACCAGCTCCAGCATCACCACCTAACGAAGACAGACTCGAGCTTTCCCTCCAAAAATCATGTGCCGAGAAGGGCTGACAGGGGGTGTGCAACTTCAAACCAACCCAAACTAAACTGCGCCCGCCACCGCCCCTCTCCTGCTGTTGCCAGTTCTAAGTTAGCTTATGAATGCAACTCCTGGCTTGGGAGAGCACCTCTTGCCCTGATGGAGCGCGGAAGTCAGTATCTGTGTGGCATTTTGGTTTTGACCAACATCTGTTAACCACAAACTCTCTCTCTCTCTATCTCTCTCCATGACTGCACATGGTGGATGTGGTATGAGTAACCAGGAGAGGGAAGCAATGGTTTGCAGAATCCCAATTGTTTTGTTTTGGTTTTTTTCCAGGTATGTCAGCAGAAGAAATCACAGCACAGTGAAAGCTTGCTGCCCAAATCAGCCTTGTTGTGAACGAATCCTATCTCCCACCCTCCCAGGACGCTGAAAAAAGTCCACTCGACTCGAGGCTGACAGCAGGAACGACGCCTGTGCAGTCCTGGGCAGAAGGGGGTTGCTGAGGCTAGAGGAAGCAGCCTGAGATGATTGATTCTGTGATTCACTGCAAGGCGAAGAAGAACGCATGGTGGAGAGTACTGTGTCCAAAACGGAGAATCCATGGTTAACAGATGCAGGAAAAGCCAGTTGATTTGCACATGCTCAGTAGTCTTCCAAAGTCTCTATTTCTCCCATATTGAGCCGCTCTGATGAGGCATTCACTGAAAACCCTGTGAACCAAAATGGACTCGTGTTAAAAATCTGGAAGCGGTATATTGCACTTGATGCAACACGTCTGTTACTTGCAGTAGCATGTGTAAGATAAAACGAGTAATACCTATCACATAAAAACTCGGAGGGAAATTCAGTAAGGCTAGAGATGTAATTACCCAAACTTGTTTTTTTCCTTAATAAATCGAAGAAAATCAATTGTATTGTCACTCAAATAACAAATGGCCTTTAAAAACAGATCCAGCAGAAGCCTGGTTTCAACTTTTATTTCAAGATGTCATCTGCCGAGCTAGTTGAAGGCACATCCAGGAGCAGTGGCAACGTGGCTCAGCAGCATCTTGGAAGGGAGCACGTTGAGTCAACCGGAGCTTGGAGGTGCCCAACACTGTGCTTACATGGCCCGAGAGGCAGAAATACACATTTTGCAAACTCAGAATCCTCGTGTGGAACCATGCTCAACACGTCAGAGAGTATGAGCAATTCCACCCCTTACTTTTACATCTAAATGCGTGTACCTATGAAACCTAGTGGCAATTCCATGTACTTCCATGCTTTTTTAGTCTTCTGTCTCAGGAGTACAACATGAAAATGTACAGAGTTCCATAGGGCTATGCAGATGGCTCAAGATGCAACTGAACTTCTCCCCAACCTTTTAACCGCAAGTGCTGAGGACACGATGCACATGAGCGAAGTGTGAGAAAAAGCAAAAACATTTTCTACAAAGAAAAAAGCCAATGCATCATGTGCAACTTTACTACTGAAATCCAACTTTTATGGTCGTACCAGCCCCATATGGAGTATGAGAAAAAGGAAAGCTTTCCTGCGTAAGGCTAAACCCAAACCTG